ACTTTCAACCTCGACATCCGGTGGCATGTTGCTGCCGCATGCGTAAGTTTGTCTGCACGCTCACGTGGGCTCCCGGAAATCGGTGTCTGTACCTAGCCGGTAGTCGCCATGTTGGGCGCCCAAGTGGGCTGGCGTCGCGCGTTCCCCCTTTTGTTTTTGTCTGCCCACAGAAGTATTTTTTTAAATCACGACTAACTGGCGGATCCTCCGCAGAGCTTTCCGTTTCCTTGACTTTGTCTCTGAACGCCTCTAACAGCAAAGGTGTAAATATGGCCGCAGTGATCACTTAGGTCTCTTTGGTCTTTGGCTATTATGACTCTTGATGACGTTAGTTGTTATGGTGACGGTAGGGTTTTGCGACGACACTGAGGGATGTGCTTTGCCATCACAAGACTGCGTTGTCGCAATCACTTCTGCTATTGCACCGGCGCTCGATCAACATCCTGACGGTCTTTTTTGCGTCTGCCTGCAGCCAGTGTCCATCAGATACGCCGAACGATGATCTCCTGTTGTCTTGACCTCTCGAGTCTCAACGCTGAGTCTGAGGATGTTCTTTATCTCTTTTAACTATGCACCGCTTTATGGAGCCATGCTTAATGTATACTACCTAACCTCTGCTGAAAGTGTTCAATGGTCAATGTCAATACTGGAAAGCTGCTACTATTTTGACGAAACCCAAAAAGTAAAACTTAATCTGTGAGTTCACGAAATAATCAAGTCCTGTACTTTCATGAGGGCAAAATAAGTAAAGAGGCGGCAGAAGCTTGTATGGTCGACCGCAGGGAACTTGGGTCAGTAAAGTAAAAGGAACCTCTTGTACGAGCAAGTAGATGCACAACGTTGATGGTGGTAACTTCTGGTTAGTCTCACGTCAACAAAGACTAGAGGCAACCACTTTCATAATAGGAATTCAGCCTGAACAATTCAGGTTTGCTTCTTTTATCATTTCCTGACTCGATTATCTGCTTTACATTGGCTTGAAGGCACGCATGTTCACTCATACTTAACGCTAACAATATTGCTGGACGACACATTCAGACCGCTGTGCATTGCCTACGATAGGAGATTCTTCACTTGGAGCGTCTTTCAATGAAATGCACTCTGGGAGTTAGAGAGACGGTATTGAAAGCGTGCCCTTTCATTTATTTTCTCGATTGTTAACTCAAAAGCTCCACTCGTGACTCACCCAATTTTTATGTTAAGTAAAAGGAAAAGGTTTTGTACCTCATCGCCGATCGGTGTATCCGGTATGCAGGATAAACAACAACAATATGTATTAAATTAGAGTTGAGGAAACTTATTCGGCTTGAAAGCGCAAACCAACAGGTAGCAAGCTCTGGCTGATGTGGACGGGTGACTAACAAAGGTCAGCTCAGCATAAAAGTCATTCATTGAACAACAGCCTGGAGGGCATTAACACTGCACGTTGCCATGCTCAGTTGACAATTAAGGTGTTCAGTCGTTCCTACTCAGGGGGGGGGGTTGGCGTCGTCTCGTAACAACGGTGACTGTGCAAAAGCGCTTACAGTTTCATGGACGCATTACAACAAATCTACTCCGTAGCAGCTACGTTTGACGAGCAAGTCAGGGCTTTTTCACAAGTTTACAGCAGATCCACCTGCATGACCCAGTGAGGAAGAAATAGAAACGATAACTACTTTGACTCGTTTGTGTTAGGCATCAGTCACAGCTTAGGCACCTATGAGACCTGCGAAGAGGTCTTGCACATGTTACCGAAGTATCGGAGTTACGTTTGACAGCCCCCTGACACGACTGCAATCAACTTATTCAACTCCGTCAGTCCTGCATGAGCGTCACAAGGGTCTTCCACTTGACATGATTGAACGCCGATTTTCCGACTGCCAAGGTAATCCCATCTTTTTGTATGCTGGATTCCAGCCTAAACGAAGTGAACTTTGATGTGCCTCCCGCTATGATTGTTCACTCAGTATCCGTCTCAGTGTCGGATCTTACGACGGACAACGTGGGAGTTTCGCTGGACTGACATGGGGGCCAGATCAGGGTCGCGCACGCGTAGTTGGGCTGCACATCCCCATCAAATGTCGTACGTAGGGGTGCGGTAGGCCACCTTGGCGCAGACCCACACCGCGCCAGCCACATACGTTAGATCCCACCTCCGGTCTTCTTGACTGTCTTTTGGCACTGGGTGGGCAAGGGAACAGGGAGCGCGGTAGATGCAGTGCAAGTCACGTCCCTGTAGCCACCCTGCTGTTGGACACGCGGTGAACATCGCCGGTAACGACGGCCGAATTGTCATCTGTCTGAATGCACTTATTGGCTTAAAGCAGACGGTGGCAGTAACGTTTTGAGTTTCAACAAAAGTAGTCACTAGTATCCTGGCTAACTTCTGGTTTCACCTTCACTCATTGAAAAGCTTAGTTTGTATGTTCAAAATTCCGTTGTGTATAAAGGTAAGTAAATAGAACTTGAGCATGCGATTGGTGTATGCATTTAGGAAACCTTCATCTGACAGCACGCTGATCTCAGCTTTCCTTTATGCATTTTGTGGAATACCAGTTAGTCATGTTTACATCCTTTCGCCAAAGGAAGTTGGTTTGACTAGATATACTACGTTTTTGACACTTCTCGTTCAAGCAAAATTCGCCTTTTTCGGTTCCTGGTATTTCGATTTAATTGAATGGTCTTGAAGGAGGTAAATATGTGGTCACGCCTGTAGCAACTCTGATGCATTTGTTAGGTGACTCTAAAAATAGCGCCCTCATCTGGAAGATTTTGCAGTTATGCAGATATTGAGTTATTTATATTTACCCAACTGTTAAAAACTCGGTGCCTCGGTGGGGTTCGAACCCACGCAGTAAGAGGAAGGCTTTCGTACAGCCAACGCTCTAGCCACTTGAGCTACGAGGCCCCGCCGGACGACGAGAGTTTAATCACATTTGGGTCAATTTACCCGCCCAACCTACTGCAACGTCTGGAATCCACCAAATCTGATACAGTAAGTTGACTGCCCAAGCAGGATTTCCTAAGTAATTCACCTAGAATCCACCAGACGACTACTAGGCTCACGTAATTCATAGATGTTTTGGCAGATTTTGAATAATTCATATTGATCCAACTGTGAAAACTCGGCGCCTCGGTTGGATTCGAACCCATGCAGTAAGGGAAGGCTTTAGTACAGCCAACGCTCTAACCACTTGAATTGCCAGGATTACTCAACCCGTTAACTTCAAATGTGAAATGGTCCTATGCGAACCTTCGGAGACACTTTCTTCTAACTGGACTTTTTGAAGAGATATCATTTTTGTGACGTTTCAGCGTTGTTTTGTCTGTCAGCTTTCCATCAGTTAATTCGGAAAGATTGTTTTAATGCATGGCTCAAACTAGCGATATTGGATTAAGTTTGTATATAACGTGTTACGCTCATAATAATTGAACAGGAAAGCCTGATCTGGACCTGGTCGCTAGAGGCATATTCTTCCTCTGCCTCAACGTATTTTAAATCACAGGTCAACTCGGTTTTCCGTAGCATCGCTATGTTGCTTTCAACAGCGTTATATATACTGCGCGTAGGGACACAGTTTACATCAAATATATTTTGTAAAAACGTACATAAAAATATTCTACCTTGTACTTATTCGGCAGCAAATCACGTCTTCTTCAAAATTTATACTTGAAGAAAAGACATCTTTCGGTTTATAAAAAGTGTCTTTGAGATTTTAAGGTTGTACTATGCTCACTCAGATCGCATCATATCTGTCTGTTTAATAATGTTTCCCATGAAGTATACAGCATAATCCACATCTTTTGTGGGATTTTATGAGCCCTATTTGGTTTTTACTTAACGGCACAGGGAAGTGCGTGTTTTTCCTCACAAGGAAAGTATACAGCTGACAGGCTGAAAACCCATAGCGCATATACAACGGCACATCGAACCCAAATTTATTCCGGAATTTAAAAAAAAACAGTTCAAAGCTGGGAGATGCGCTTAATTCGAGTAAAACAATTAAAGAAGACCTGATTCGCTACAAAATGAACACAATATAGAATACTTAATGCATGTTTTCCATACAATATATTTGAATACAATATTTTGAATACAATATATTTGAATTTGAGTGAGTTTGTTGCAGGCGGCCGAAAAGAAGCAAATTTAAATATCAACATCCTGGCGTGTCTGAAATATTACGGCATTTTGCCGCAGGTTAATCAATATTGCAGTCCTACTTAAGTAGCCTTTTCTAATCAAATATGCATTTCAGGATTTCGGTCAACATTTCATAAGATCATTTCCTGAGTGTACTTTTAACTACTCCGACACTTAGACCTCTTTGTGCTCTTCTAAGACCGCTTTTCACGCATGGCTGCAGTTAACTGAAAAAAATAACTCCCTCACCTTGCAGGTACAATGTTTCCGGTCCGACTTTCTGAAATTTTCCGACAAACGGATATTTATAAAGGTCACAAAGGATTTGGCGTTTCAGCCCGCCTCTGGTAGCCTGGCACCTCTTGTATCAGTAATTAGACTCCAGAATATAGCTATATCTGCCCCATAAAGACTGGTGTCGCAAAGAATTCCCTCCCCCCTCGATTCGGCTGAAGGGACCTTTATATGCAGCACGATGGCAGTGCGGAGCTCTTTATGTGTCATGCAGGTTTGCATCATAAGAAAGTTTTGTTCGCGACTGCATTATGTCCTGCTTTCAGTGTAAGAAAGGAGACCAGCCGGTGTTTTATGTCCGGGTGCGTCTGGAAACACCCAACTTCCTCTGTCGATACCGCCTTCCGGTCGGTAAACAAGAGCTTTCCTTTTATGCCCTAGCCACGTAAGACTTGGCTAGCGGCGTTTTCATTTAGTCCATAGTGGTCACAGAGCAGAGAGCTAATCACATCCCACATGACTAGTGGCCGAGCAGGCTTTTTAGGCGCGGACTTTTTTCCGCCCATGCATAAGCATGTCTCTGTAAGTAGGTGAATGCCCACACACGAGACTGCTTTCAAGACCTGATCATGTGAGGAACATGCAGAGAGGGGATAACAGCGATCCCATTGTGCTGTCACCTTTCGAGCGTCGCTCGCGTTTCTACCCTCCTCAAGCCCACAAAGTGGTGTGTGAACCGACATGTCTCACCAACACGTCATCCTCCCTCAGGAATGAAGATCACAAAATTCCAGGGTAGCTCATCGTGACGGGGACATTTGCGTATGGGTGTGAGCGCGCGTGCATCCATGACTAAGTCCGTGCATGTGCGTGACTAACCTCTTCGTCAGATCTGAACAATTCATCCTCTCCCGACCACCCCCAGTGTGACTCAATTGCTGCCAGCTAAGGCCTGACTGAGGCACGGTCTTAACTGGATCTACGAAGAACCTAGTGGTAGGGCAGCAGTCAAGTCTGTCCAGCAGGGGCACATTTTGCTGCAAATAAAGATCCCTGCAAGCAAATCGAGCAGGGAATTCTTGGCGAGACTGGCAGATATTAATTATTCGTTGGCGTCTAAATACTGCAGAGCGAGGTGTTAGTCTGCCAGTGGCGGGCTGAAATGCCCAAATCTTTTGTAGCCTTTGGGCATATCCACTTAGCGGTAAATTTCTGAAAGTCGGGTCACAGCTATCGCACTTATTAAGTAGGGAAATTATTTTCTTCTGGTAATTGCAACGATATACGAAAACAGGTTTTTGGATGAGTAGGCAGATGTCTAAATGTCAGAATTGCTGAATGGATTAGTATGTAGGTCCGAATGTTGCAGATTGTGTCAACAAGCGTAGTATATGTATAATACTGCTGAAAGTAACATGCGATGCTACAGAAAGCGGGTCGAGCTGCGATTTAAAATACCCCGAGGTAGAAGAAGAAGAAGATGATGATGATGATGATCATCATGATGATGACGACGACGACGACGACGACGACGACGACGACGACGACGACGACGACGACGACGACGACGACGACGACGACGACGACGGTGATGATGATGATGATGATGATGATGATGATGATGATGATGATGATGATGATGATGATGATGATGATGATGATGATGATGATGATGATGATGATGATGATGATGATGATGATGATGATGATGATGATGATGATGATGATGATGATGATGATGATGATGCCCGGGCGACCAGCTCCGCTGTAGGCAAATTCTTACTGGATATATGAAGAACCTAAAAAGAAAGAAGAAGAAGAAGAAGAAGAAGAAGAAGAAGAAGAGGCGATCGCAGGAACAAGGGCTTTATTCGCCTGACGTTTCGGATTCTCACTTGGACCCATAATCAGAGACAATAGCAGAAACCGGTCTGCCACTTTCTGCCCGTTTCTGTCACTGTCTCTGATGATGGGTTCAAGTGAGAATCCGAAGCATCAGGCGAATAAAGCCCTTGTTCCAGCGATCGCTTCTTCTTCTTCTTCTTATCAACTAGTTCCGCGAACTCGCATCTTCGCTTGTATCGGCAATATGAAGAACCTAGTTGCACGGCAGCAGTCAAGTCAGCCTAGCGGGCGCAGTCGTGTTGGGGCATTCTGTAAGCCAGTGGTGTAGGGTAGAGGTAAGGACTTAAAAGCATCTTTGTACCCAGTGACAAGGAGATCCAGTTCTCTGTTGGCAATAACAGCTCCTATTGTACAGAGTGGTTTTCAATTTAGACGTATTACCACTAAACCGCATAACTCATCTACGCATCCGGCAAGTGAGCGTCATTTGTGTGTGATGAAAGATCAAATGTGATTTTTGAAAGTTGAGCTCATCCCCAAGTGTGCAAATGCACTCAGTTATTACTAGTGCACTCTCATCTCACCTATAGTAGGTGACATGTCTCATAAGACAGTAAGCAAAATATGAAATGGGATTTCGGTTAGAATGAGTTGCTTAGTTAGGTTTGTAATACTGATCGTCATGCAGCATAATCCGGCTTTTGAATGTCCATCTTACAGACCGTCTGCGAAAAACGCACTCGCCAAAAACAACTACTTAGGTAGGAGGGATTCTCAAAATTGATTTTAGGTGTCTTCGTAAAAGGAAATGTATTGTACAGCAAGCAGGCGCAAAAATATTGCTTTTTTGCAGTAAATTATTTTTTTGCAAGTTTTCTGCTGAAATAAAGGATAAGTTTCGACTCCAAAAGTTTGAAGTTATGAAATTTTTAGGATCGCATATCGTACATTCATGCAGTATCGTACCTGTTCGTTTATCAAGATTCCCTATGAAGTATACAACATTATCCATATCCATTGCAAAATTTTATGAAGCCCATATGGTATCTTCCGAATAGCATGGAAGAATGTAGCGGCTATCTTAAATGTAAAGCCTATCGCCTGCAGTTTGGAAATCCTAAAAATAGAAGTAACGACAGTTCGGGTTCAGTTTCATTCGGGAAAAGACAGTTTTTATTAAAAATAGCAGATAACATTTCTTCGAGTAACAAACCTTAAGGCACAATTTGCTAAAAAAAATAAGCATAACCAAGCACATCTTGCGCATGCTTTCTGTGATGCCCAGTTGGTGACCTTGCTCGCGGAACGCGGTTACGAGAATTAAGACGCTCGATTTTAGGCACCTAGGATGTTATACATCATATTTACTCGTCTATTTCGTCTCGGAAAGTGTCCCTTTGCATGTAAAATATGTTTATAAATAATTTTATCGGTCAAAGTGTTTGTAAATATGGGCGAAAATTCGTGTTACCTTGTACACGGGCAGTTTCCTACGCTAATAACTGCCCTAGACGAGTCTGCCCGGTCGTGCATGTGTTTCTTTTAGAGGAAAGTAATCTAAGCTCGAGGGTTCTACCAGAAGTTGTCGCACTTGGAAATTGATCGTTTTCTCTACGTAGATCAGGGTATAAGTAAAAAAATTATTTTTGGAAAACCAGACGTTATATCGATTTTAGAGAGTCACATTTACAAATGTGTGCGATTTCATGCACGCAATAATAACGCCTGTGGCCAATCCTTCATTTAACCGTGCCGACACTTTCATACCCTTTGAGTATACTCAACAACATGTCGTGAAAAGACCTTCAAGTAAATAGCTATATTTACCTCTGAGTGTATGATAAGACTTTTCGTATAGTCTAGTTTCCACTAATACGTAATTTAGAAACGGAACTGGCGGAAGATTAATAATTTTTGAAGGATCTTAGTATTTAATTGACTATCATGTTGTGTGTGCGCGAACGTAGAAACGATCTTAATAGCAGGACAATATAGAGAAAAGGCCTAGGTAGAAAAAGAGAAGTGAACTTTTTCCTCTGCAGATGAATTGTCCCTTTTTCTCCAGGAAGTGAAAAAACCAACAAGACATTCCACTTTTTGCCCTGGAAGAAGGCAACTTAATGGACAATTTTTCTAATTGATCTGGAACGTATTCACTGAGGACCTTCTTTTTGTGCGTCCATTTTTATCAGTGATGAGGTTTTAAGTTTGGGCAAGTCTACAAATATGACCTAAACGCCAATTCACATTATAAAGAAATGTCCAAAAACTCACTACTTTAATAAATATTTTCAAGACATATTTTATTTTGAAGGTTTCGATAACCTGATGGCACAGAATCTACCTTTATGGGCAATCCATCGAAAACATTGGAAATAGTGAGATATTCACTGAGACTTCATGGGCGGGCTGAAACTCAACGTACTCCAGCGCAAGAAAAAGAGGAAAGAAATTTGATAGATGAAAAGTTCTTTTAACAAAATTGTATGTTTGCGAGTGTACCTGCCAATTCTGTTTACATTTACTAATCACCGACCGGCCCTCAACATGTGGCCTAATGAAAGCTTTTATTTCTATGACGACCCTATGGGAGAATTCAAGTGAATCCTTCTTTGCCTTGGCTAGCCGCATCTCCAATAATGTACAACCGAAAAAAATGCAGTCAATTCTCGTAAAAACGCGTTGGAATCTGTTCTCAAAATGTAGGTTTTTGGCTAACCTCCATACTTTATATTTCATTAATTCCTAAAGAATATTCAAATGTACACTTCACTAAAGGACTACTGTCAAGCGTTACTTTACGTGTGCTATTTTATTTACTCGGCTTTTCGCAAGGGTAGGCTTTTTGTACACGTAAAACTTAAGGTCGCTCAATTACAATGATTTCTGACGTTTTCGGAATTTCAGTTTTCCTAGAAAAAAATTGTTATTTATAAACGAAGCTGTATTAATTTACTGCATCCTTTGTGTTCTCAGTTATCTTAAATTCAGTCATTACCTATTCGGAATTTTATTCCATTCGTTTATGTCTGTTTGCAACGTTTTGTAAATTTCGGCATACTTCACGAGTTCGAAAATTCACTGTAGGTCTGAATTTATAGATGAAAGGAAACCCATGGAAAAGATCATACTACCTAAGTGGTCATGTGTAGTTGAGCATGATATTTCCAAGCAAACGCAAAGAGGAATATTCGAACGCTGGAATTCGGAGGTGAATGATATATCTTGGGACTATGCTACATGATTATCGATACTAAAACCCTACCTTAGTAAAGCTTTCTAATCGAAATCACACTTATGTTTTCAGTTAGTTCTTCACGAACATTCCAGACCTCGCTGGCAGCCTATGAGGAAACAGCGGCATGAAGACGGGAGTTTCTGTTGTCTTGGAGTTTCGACCACACTTTCTGCGTCCACAAGTCACGTTCAGTCTGCGAATGACGTCTTTTGCCATAAATTTTAGGAGACCTTTTCTGTCCCTCCTCCACGATGGAGCAAGCAGTGCTACCCCTGAATAAGACTGTTTAGTCATCCCAGACGGATGCCGAATTCCCCTAATGGTCATGGCGTTTGTTTAGTGGGAAGACGATCCGAGTTAGCCTGGAGTCATCTACAGGTCGCCTTCCCCGTAAGACTTTTTGTTTGGGAGTGGGGAGGGCGAGGATGGGGATTATTTCGGGAACTACCGGGTGGGAAGACACATGCACGCACACGCCGAACACCCTCATCTGGTTCAGCCCCCCGGTCAAGGACGGTTACGGGGTTCTGGTCGTCCTGCGGTGCCTGACTTCGTGGAGCCACTGCTGAGAGCTGGGTGGTGGAACAAGGCGAAGCGGAAGTATCTACCAATGTCTATTGATGTGTTTGAGGGGGCCCGTAAGTTTACTGCTTATAGGTACTTGTTACCTACCAGGCCGGCTGGCATAGCCTGCACTGGATCTTCCTATGTGGTAATTATGATAGTGGGTGTACTCTTCAGTGTGAGATTGTGCAACGTCCACATAGAAGCATCAATGAATTTAGCTTGGCCGCGCAACCATAACACGGATCCCCGCACACTCAATCCCGTAGAGGCCCACACACAATTGCATGTACAGTAGGTGGGCTAACTCATGAAATGTCAACCGAAAGTCCAAAATGCGTTTACAGTAAGTGACCTATCTCATGAAAGCTGATAACGGAAACTGATGAGAGAATTTCTGGATGCATTTAACGTTGAGCATTTTGTTCGCTACTCCACTTCCTTCAATAAAATGTCCTTTTCTTGAGCGGGAATTGTGTTTACGTAAGTATATCAAGTAAAATATCAGAAAACTTTAACGAAAATGGACGTTGGCATGTATTCGTGCGATTTCCTATGTTAATACTTATCCTACACTCCAGTTACTCATCTGAGCGACTTTTTCCTTGAAAGCATAGTAATTTATCCGCGAGAGTTTTAATAAACAGATTTAGCCGAGCTCGAAAATTTTATCCCCTATCCGATGTAAACCATGGTGATCAACCTGCTAACACAAAGGTTATTTTAAGAAACTCAGAGGTTTTATCAATTCTTAAATGTCAAATTAGCCGATATGTACGATTTGGTGTCCTAAAGTGCAGTAATAACGCGGATAGGGATTCCTTCGTTTAAATGGGCTGAAATTTCTTTGCTCTTTGGAAAATTCTACCTGATGTCACATAGATGACCACCACGGAATGGTTATTTTCAGCTTCAAATATATGAAATATTAATTGTCGTGTAGTTCAGCTTCTGCGCATATCTTATTCAGAAATAAAACGAGCAAAACATTTATAGTTTCAGCAAAACATCAATACTTATATGGCTACTCTGCCGTGCATTTATAATAGAAGAACGAAGTCTAAAAGCGAGCAAAAACAGTGGAAATGGCCTCGATGTATAGAGGAAGGCATGTTATTGCGTTTCCGGTAGATAAGTATTAGTATTT